AGCACTCGTCTTGATTTCCTAGTTGAAAACTCACCATTTGCCGCCTTGTTGAGTTTCGAAATCTATTAAGATGCAGTGACAGCTTGAAGCAAACGCCACAGAAAATTTCCTATTAGGGCGATAATACTCGTAAATAGTACATTAAAATTAGCATCTTTAAAGATACTGCTGTGGCAACTTTGGCAATAATTTACCACTCTTATATTTAACCTTGCTATTATCCAGTCGGCTCCTTCGTGGTCTCTATTAAGAATAGGGTTTGACCATAGTATACCTCTGGGTCGAAAAGAAAACCAATGTTCTAGAGCCTCAAGTGGCATACATTACAAATGTGCAAAAACTTTAGCTTAAATCCTCATAACCTCTAAGGGTAAATAATGAGAACTAGATATAAAAAAACCTACTTTCATCAGAGCGTTTGCCCATTGCAAGGTGATCATGTGCAGAGTACGACATTCCTTCTGCAACTGCTCCAGCTCCTCTTCGCCTAATCGAAATTCAACTTGCTCCACCTTTTCCTCTGTTGTCTTGGCGGGATTGTATTGGATCTCATGTGTTTGCTGCCGCGGATTGAGTCCTTTTGAACCTGTAGTCCACCATTCAGCTGTCAGTGCTCGCTGTCGCCGCAACCACTTTTCAACCAAATCCAGGTTGCAAGTGTGACGATGCAGTGCCTCTTCTGAGGCTGAAAGCTCAGCAAGTAGCTCATGGTCTTCTGAAGAGCAGTAGTCAAGTGATGTTTCTGGTTTTAGCAAGAATTGTCGTTGTAACTTGGCCACTTGCCGCGATGCGTGTCGCTGGGCCGTGGTTAACCAGTCGATAAACTTGGTCATTTGAAAGCCAGGTGATAACAAGTCCTGTGTCAAGTCCAGATCATCTAATGTAAGCTTAAATTCTGTGTCTGGCTGACTAAATTGATTTGCGAAATTGAGGGGTGACGAGTTACCAAAATATTTGTAATTATCTTCCTGTTGTGCACCTTCTTTGTGTTGCCTCTCTTCTCTATCCGTGTCTCGCATACTTATATGAACATCCTCATTTTCAAATGCATCATTATCCTTAGTATTCTCCTCTTCGATGGGCTTATCCTTATTTTTTTTCGTCACTATTTCCACTTCTTTTCCGTCCATTTTGTTTTTCGTTGCTTTAGCCATTTTTTCCTCCCCAAAAGCTTTTTCCAGTTCATCCTTTTCCCTTTCAATAGGCTCCTTTTTCTCCACCTCCGTTGTGCCTTTTTTGATAGAATTGAGGTCTTTAGATAACATGATATAGGAGAGAGCTTTATTTAGAACCTCTATACTCTCTCTGATAGGATGTTGTAGAAATTATGTGAGATGGGCAATGTGGAGGGGAGTGGGTGGGCGAACATATGAAAAAAGGATGAAAACATATCAGCATATGTATATAAGCGACATTCATAGTTGAGAAATCATAAAAGACTTATTTGCTAATAAAACTAGGGGAATCAAAGACATGCAGACCAAGATGTTGTGACTTTCGGTATGGTCGCGATAGCCTTTCGATTTATAGAAGTCGGTTGACCTCGTTTTCGCAACTTTGTCATGTAGTCAGGGCGACTTAGTTGAACGTACCTTGACCGAAGTCCTCTGCCTTAGTAGTTATCATTATTCCCAGCATCAGAGAATGTACCAAGTTCACAGTCTGATGCTGGGAATTATGATAACTACTAAGGACAAGGTGCGTTCAGCCAAGTCGCCCTGACAACAAGACCAAGTTGCGAAAACGAGGTCGACCCACTTCTAAAATTATATGAAATTTGCTAAGTCGTAATAATTTCAAAATAAGATGATTGATAAAGCAACTTGAAGAGTTGTTTGATATAAAAAATGATTAGAGATTGCAGACTTTTCCAGTTCGGCAGCCTTCAGTATCTCAAAGACGACCTGAATCATTCATTAATAATCATTCTTCCGACCCACCTCCCTTTTTTAGAGCTTGCATACTGTAGCTCAACAGTATTCGAGTGGACAGCTTCACCAGGCCCCGAGCAAGTTGCAATGTAGTTATTTTCAGGACGCGTTTTACAACACTGTTGGACATCCAGACTTGTAGGAGCCATGGCATGGGACGAATCGATAGACGTTTGCTCGTCATGATTGATTGAGCAGGTTGGACAATCTCTA